TATTCCAACATCCGAAACCTCAGTTGAACTACTATATCTCTGCAAATTATCCATTTTTGTTTAATAACGTGTGAAGTGCAGATTACAAATTACTGTTGACAATAAAAAATAGATAATTTTTTTGGATAAAAATCTGAAAGATCACCGTGAAACCACATAGCCAACTGAGAATGATCCTCTATTCCACCAATTGATGGGTGACTGGGCCATTAATCCACATAGCTCTGATCTAGTAGCGATAGACCTTTACAACATAACACGAGGAACACCTCTATTCCAACATCCCTCTGTTGTGTTGATAAAAATGTAGGAAAATCTGAATACGTTAATGAACTCCAAAGCACGAAAAAACGTTATCTTTTAAGAGATGTTTCTCCCCTATTCAACAAAGTCACAATTGGGGTATGATAGAAAATCTCTCTCAGAATACAATGGAGGCGTTCGATTCAAATTGTGATTATTTGATCAAATCAAGAAGACATTCGAAAATAACTGATTGATGCCAAGAGAAAGAAGGAAGAATAAATTGTTTTAATGTGTTTGCAAATGAGAATTCGCCCAGAGTTTATAGAAATTGAGGCAACTGTTTGAATAGGTGTATCCTTTGAAATTCTTGCGTACATCTATTGGAAGTGATTGTTAAAGATGCATCTATTCAAAAACTTTTGAAAATAAAATTCTCTTTCGGGGGCCCCGAGGTCTGACCGGGCAGGTCGAATCCTGTTGCGCAGCGGCAAACACTAATCCGGGCGGTAAATCATTCGCAAAACAAAAAAATTAAACACGTGCAAAATGATGAAAAATATCTAACATATTGCACTACTATTTTCTCTGCAAATCATCCAATTCTGTTGAATACTGTGTAAAGGGCAAATCACCAATTACAGGTGACGATAAAAATGGATAAAATATATGGTTAAAAGTCTATCAGATCATTGCCAGTCGATCGCCCTAGCCAAGAACGATCCTCCATTGCACCAAGACCATTAATGGCTGAGCTATTAATCACACACTGATCTAGCAGCCGTAAATTATCGAAGTAACCAAGGATACAGAATTACAAGCTTATTGAATCAATCCCGCTCGCCCGATCCCTTTATAACTTATAAAACTAAAGTACTTTTTTCGTTGTCCTTTCGACGTGGGATAGAGCTCGTATCCCATTATTAATTGATGTACGGTTGGGCTTTGGCCCAAAAACCTATCCAACCCACAATGGCTTTTGGATGAGCCTTGTGCCTTCTTATCTCGAAAATTATTGGTACACGTTCTTTATATATATACTAGTCTTCGTCTCGTGCGTTGTATTTATTATTTTATTATTAGTGTGGAATATGTAGAATTTAGAAAAAGTTTTGAAGTTTTTGAAAATGAGAAATATTTGTGTCATCGTCGTTTTTATAATCATTTTTATAAGTTATTTTAATTCTTATACTATTTGGTCAATGTAGATGAAGATTTTTTTTTTCTCTTAATAAATATGCAGCTGTAAATTGAACAAAAACTGATTTCATTTCATTGATGTTGAAAACTACAAAAAGTGTAGAAGCTAGGACAAAAATATACATCATTAGTGGCGGATTCAGGTGGTGGCCAGTTAGGGCCGCCGTCCTAGCTGAATTCACTGGAACAGCCTGGCGCCGGCGTCGATTCTGAATCTGTGATGACAAATTTGGCTGACAGTGGCGCTTGGCTGTGGTGCTGTTGGGCAGTTGGCCTCCTCATTATTTATTTATTTATTTATTTTTTTAACTTAATTAGGCAAGCCCAAATTAAAAAGCTCAAATCACCCATAGGCCATATTGATTATGGACCAGATTACTTACCTACCAGAATTAGTTTCTCTTTTCCCCAATTCTTGACTTCCTTCCCGTGAAAACCGGCTGCTACAGAGATCAGAGAAGAGTAAACCCTTCTTGAGTTCTTCCCCCAATTCCTTCCCGTCAAATTGGTCACCTAAGTTCACTGATTGAGCTAGTAGTAGCATGAACGGTGAACTCACTAGTATGATTTGCCATTTTTTTCTAAGTCTCTCGTTCTCTGAGTCTAAGACAAATGTGATTTTTTTGTAAGTTTCATGTATTTATAAATTATACAGATATAATGGTCCAATTTTTGGGTTGTTGATGAATTTAGCTTCGGTTTTTATTAAGATTTGGTTAATTGTGCTTTGCCACTTTGGTGTAATTTGGTGTGTGATATTGTTTATTGTGCTTTGCCAATTGCCACTTTCGTGTAATTCAGTGCCCGATTATGTGATTGAATCATTGAACCTGGTTGTTTAATTGTTTAGATGAAGCCCATTTTCTGATTTTGATTTGATTCAGTGTGTGTGTGCATGTATTATATGTTGGAATTAATTGAATTTGATTTGGGTTTGATTTGGGTTTAAAATATTAAATGTAATATATAATGATATGGGCCATTGCAATTAATTTGAGTGAATTGGAAAAGTCTCCAATATAGGCCCATATGTTGATAAGCCCATTTTAAGTGGTTTTTATATGGAAAGGAGTCTCACATCGAAAGTTTACAAGAAAATAGTCTTGTTTATATAGTGGATTGTGTAAATAATATATAATTTAATATGTTACCTATCACTTGGCTAACTTTAGCTAGCCAAAGGCTAGCAAACTAGCCAAAGGCTAGTCACCACTAGAGTGGTGCTTCGCACCACTAGCACCGTTCCCCGGACCCGGACCCGATCCCGGTCCCGGTCCCGGCACCAGCACGCGCACGTCGCACGTCGCAAAGTACGCATTGGGCGCTTTAGAGGCGCACTTCGCACGTACGCATCGTCGCGAGGAGCTGGGGAGCCTTATAGTTTTCGGAAATGGACTCCTGGTTCGATGACGTGGCAGCACAAGGCTCGGTGAGTTGGCATTCTAGGTGGCGCACGGGTGGTAGGTCGCGTCCCTTCGTCCTGCATGGCGGTTAGATGTACGCGTGGCATACGTATGACTGTGACTGTTCAGAAATTGGTGAATAGGCATGATGAATGGACACTTCACTTCATGGTTCAATCTGGGCCGTCAGATCATAAAAATAGTGCGATCCAATGGCTAAGACGAATCAGACCAAGTGGTGCACCAGTTCCTGAAATGTCACAGAGACACTTCAATCTCTATAAATAGGGACCCCCAGATTCGTTTTTTGATACACTAAATCAATTACGAATTCAATTGATTTCTAAATTCTTCTATCTCCATATTCTGCTCGTAAAAAAAAAATCTCTTATACTTCCGTTGTTATTCCGTTCAAGTACGATCATTCATTGGTTCGATCGACAAGGTTGGTATTGTGCAGTATCAACTTTGGAAGGAGCGTTGTATCTTGGGAGACAGACGTCCATAATCCCATTTGCACTTCATTGGGGGGCGAAATCTGTTTTAAGGAGATTTGCTTACTTTATTGGCATACCTCGCTTCATTTACTGTCTATTTTTCTGCTTATTTTATTCCTTCTTTTGATTGCGTTAGTCAAATTTCCGACAACATTATACCTAGAACTCGTGTGTAAAAATTTAGAACTTGTATTATACCTAGAACTTTCAAACCCCAGCCAATTCATCAAAAATATAACCAAACTGTTATATGAAACAAATAAACCAACATCCTACCCAAAATTACTCTAACAAAAAAATTAATACTACATGAAAGCATATTTTTCCCTCAATCAATCAAACATTTCTACTTCTCATAACATTATAAATCTTCATGGAAATAACACAAATACAGTAGACCAAAGGAATTTCAAAAGTGAATTTTAGCAAAGACAATACAAAATCACATACAACTAAATAATACATTCAAACCCAAAATTCCCAAAATCTTGAGCCAACTAACTAAAAAAAAAAAAAAAAGATTCCAATAGTATATTTTTTAAAAAAAAAAATTAATATAAGCCAATTCAAAAAAAGATAAAAAGGAAAAAAGATAAAGCAAATCACAAAAGAAGGGAAAAAAGGGCAATTAACTTACTGTTAAGAAAAATAAAATCAAATCTAAGATTAGACACTAGAAAAATCTGAAAAACAAATTAATTTATACACAAATAATAAAAACAAAATAGAAATAAGAAATACACATTAAACTTTAGAGAAAATAAGAAGAAATGAGGTGTCATTTCTGTGAAAAAGTAAAGAACTTCACGTGAGAAAGAGGAAATATCACTATACCTAGTAGACAAAACTAAATACAGAGTCGTTTTTGCTCAAATACCAGGAAACAAACAAAATGGTTACAGTGCGATAAAATGGAATAAATAAATAAATATGGATACAATGAGATAAAATTGAAGAACTCACTGTTGATTTCTACAGTAACTTCACATTCTCCTTTTTATATAGTAGGGATATATATACTTTTCTTATCGATTATTACTCAATTAATTGGAAGTTTTCTATGAAAAAACTATGGGTTTTTCTTCTTTGATTATGTAGGCCTGTAAAACATTCAACTTGATATTTAGCTCATGTTTGATACCAATTAAAAGCTAAATTTTAATTTAAGTCAAAGTCAATAATTCATTTCAAACACATATTTTATTTGTCCCACAAATTTTCAACCACATATTTTATTATTTTTTTAATCAAAATTTACTAAAAATTTGATTTTAATCCCCAACAAATAAATACATCTTAACTAATAGAACTTTTATAATTTTTGAAAAGCAAGAAAATTAGTGTCAATTATATCAATGGATATCAACATATCAACAATAAAGTTGTAAAATTTCTCAAGAAGCAATTAGCCGTGTCGCATGTGCCAATGCTTTTAAACTTATAATTTTACAAAATCCTACAATTCCATCCCTTCGTTTAGCCTTTCCTTCAATGGTTGATTGGAAAAAAAATGAGTTTGTCAACCTTTTCACATACAGAAGGAGAAAAAAGTTACACCAATAAGTTCTTCCGCGATCGAAGAAACTCTTATCTACAATATTTGAAGATGTTAAAAGTGTACTACACCAATCAAAAACACAATTATTTACTTAAATTTATATAGTTCAATCATTTCTCACTTTAATAATACAAAATTAATTATTTGAACTTCAAATTTTTACTTATAAAAATATTTACAAAAAAAAAAAGCTTTACAACGTCTGCTTCTTTCCCCCATAAATTTCCATTTCATTTACTCGCCGTAGTAATCAAAAATCCCCGCGGCCTCCCACAGGCTTTCATTGAAAGAATCCTGCAAATCCTCGGGAAAAAACCGCGTCCGGCAAAGTGGGCACGTCTTCTGATCGTGATCCATCCAACGGTCCAGGCAGCTCAGGTGGAATATGTGCCGGCAATTCGTTAGCCGTCGGATGTCATCATCACCTTCAAAATCATACAAACAAACCGCGCAATTCTCTGTAATTTCAAACTCACCTAAATCAGAAAACTTCACAACCGGCAGAAGCTCCCGGATCAACGCTGCCCCGCAATCCTCTCGGGTCGGGTTCGTCATTTCCGGGTCCAGGAATTCACCGAAACCCAGTAGTTTAAACACTACCCGTATTACTTTACGAATGAATCCCAGAAATGTTAGAAGAAAAACAAACACTTTTGGAAGAAAAAGATCAGTGTGTACAACTGGAAATCCCATTTCCTTCTCCAATTTGCTACGTATATATGTGTATGTATATATGTATATGTGGTGAAGGTGTTCCTCAGTACTATTAGTGCGTGTACTGCGTGTCAAATGAGACTATGAAGAATAAGCTTTTTCATGGAGGGCATGGGGCGATGGCTGGTTATATATAGAAGGGTTGGGAGCGACAAAGGGAAATTCTTTCACAATTTTGTTGACAAATGCTATCGCATGTTTTTGGCTATTGACAGGATAATGTCACGTGTACATAATTGTTTATACACAGTTTTACACCCTTCTCACATAAAGAAGGCTCGCACAATAAAAATATGTGCAGGTCCCTTTCATTTGAGAAGAATATAAGACTGTGTGTACATATAGCACTTTTCTAAGGGTCTGGTTGATTCATGAAATTTTTCATCTGTTTAGTGGTTTGATTGCACATTTTTTCTTGACAATTCATTTTCCTCCCCCTCCCCCGGCCCATTTTTCCTTGGTTTTGTGGAAAATCCATTCCCATCAAACCAATTTCCAGCTAATTTTTTTATTTTTTGAACAAATTTTATCCTCAATTATGACAAATTCTGTCCCTTTAATTGACAATTTCTATGAAAAACAAAGTCAAATAAATACCAAAAAATAGAAAATTTCAACATTTTTTAGGTAAAAAATTATATCAATTAAATATATTTAATTGACAATTCCCAAAAAAATCAAGTTCTAGACAATTCAATGTTCTGGAATTAGTTTTAATCCCATCCAAATTTCATTTTTGTAATGAAATGGACTCTAAATGAAATTCAAATCACGAGAAAAAAATTGAGTACGTGTCAAACAATTTGAAAAGAAACTTATACAAGTAGGTCTCATCGGTTTAAGCCCTGTTTGGTTTAAATAAAAAGTTGATAAAAATTTTAGTTAAAATTGATAATTAATTTTATTGACATAGTCATGGACCCATAATTTTTCTATTGTTTCATCGTTTTTATCAAAATCTACTAAAAATATTTTCTTCTTCTTCTTTTTTTTTTTTATTTAAATATCAAAGGCCAATCACATACCAAGTCGTAATGAGTCTCATAATTCATTATTTAGTTGAGATCAAGATCTAACTCAAATGTGATGAGCAAAGCATTACCAGACTAATAATTTGAATTCTAGTCTCATTTTGAGGGAAGGGTAAAATTGAAGAAAAAAATATATTATTTAATTAAGCTGTAATGCAGTTGATGATTAACAACGTTACTCTTATACATATGTTAATACGTATCAAAGGTCACATTCACGATAGTCGTGGAAAGTGTGGCAGAAAGAGTCGTACAATTGTACGCGGGATCATTAATTAGAACGTGTGAATGAGACCAAATTAGAGTTCTTAATGTGATTTCCAATTATCTTATATGGAGTCATATGACACGTGTGAAAGATAATTAATTAATTAGAAAAAATAAAAATGGACAAAATTAAAGTTATTATCATTTAATTATTTAGAGTTGAAATCAACAAAAAGTACAAATCTTAATTGGAGGATCGTAACCCTCATATATCCTATGTTTGAAAGTAATTAATGATCGTTGTAATCTCATATATCCGACCATTCTTCACCTACGCAGGTTAGGGGTCCAGCTAATGCATGAAACACTCCGTCTAGGGGGTACGGTTGCAAGTTATTTCAAATTTACTTTTCTAAAGGACCTATATTCAACCTAAGATTCTAGAAATAGATTATTTTTCATGATCTCTCTCTCTTTCCTTAATGTGGAATAAAATATGCACCATTACCAAAAGATTATAATATATATCAAGTCGAATATTATATGATTACTGAAAATTGCTTAATATAAGTGACAACAAATTAAACCCTTTAAAATAAAATTCTTTATTTTTCATACCCATTTTCAACAATACATTTACACAATAGATTATTTTGCACGTAAATTCAAAATTTTTTCCTACTTTTTAACCATACATTCTCTCAAAAATTACTATTCAAAATTCCATTTTAAAAGTAATGACCATCAAACAGGAACTAAATCTTACTCTCCATAAATTTAGAATTTATGATTTAGTAAACGTATATTTTGAATTGTTAGTATGTTTGAAAATCCAAGAAGTGAGTTTTTGTAATTTTATTTTATTTTTAATTAACACCCATACCTGATTCCATTCAAACTAAAAGGCAAACTTTAAACAAAGGAGATTCATATTAAATTTGTTTAGTACTTATTTTTATTAATTAAG